CACACACACACACACACACACACACACACACACACACACACACACACACACACACACACACACACACACACACACACACACACACACACAGATATGTGCTTTATTCCCTTTGATTATTCTCTCCTCTCATTTTAAATGTATTCAGCCCTTTGCTGCATTTGTTGCCCTTTGTGCCTGTCAGGGACGATGGAAAGGTTGTCTTTGATTTGTTTAGCGGTAACAGCAGCCATGTCAAAGCTTCTCCCCTGAGCTGACGTTTCGACGGGCTCATTATAATCTGCAGTTGAACAACGGTAAAGCTGAAACCTAAAGTATATTGTGAACGCTGTGAAGTTAGTTAATTGTAAAAAGGGCAAAGGTTGGAATGTGGACACTTTTAACAACTTGGACATTTTCTTTTTTTATTTAAAGCAGTAGCTTAGCTCTACAGTTTATATGATCATGAACTCCTCCGGCTCTTCAAAGCGGCAGTTTGGAGGTTTGGGTGTTTTACATCGGTAATTGCACAAATCTCTATGGCACAGATACGCGGGAAGTGTAGGACAAGGTCAGGGAGGATGTTGAAATAAATCAGTTTACTATTTACTTCTAAGATATTTTAGCCAATAAATATGAATAAGATGCTTGTAAAAGTTATTTAGTCACGTCCACAATTCAAGGCCATAATGCGCCCGAGGGAGTCGTCACTTTAATATGTATGGTAATCTTAAATTTGTCTGCATCTTTATTAGACTTGGGGTAACAAGCAAAGAGTTGGAGCCTCATATACATTTCTTGGCATGTTTCTCTTTCATGTTTATGCCTTTAGAGCCTATCAGCTCGCTGTAAACACCAAACTTCACCTGTTTCCTAAACTTTGATTTGAAGTGTCTAACTTTCGGTCCCGCCTCTTTTATGGCCAGGTGACCAATAAGGTGGAGCTGGAGCCCAGACAGTTTGTTGATTGGATGCGTCTGGAGCCTCAGTCCATGGTTTGGCTACCTGTGCTGCACAGAGTCGCCGCTGCAGAGACGGCGAAACATCAGGCCAAGTGTAACATCTGCAAAGAGTGTCCTATTGTTGGCTTCAGGTAAACACACACACAAACACACATAAACACACATAAACACACACACATGCTCATATTTAGCATTTAATTCAGTATAAGTGGATAAAGCATAATATACAGAATTCTGCAACATGTTACAGGTCAAACACAAACATCTCACACACACACACACACACACACACA